GGTATGAGGTATGAGGATTTGGGGCTTTGGGAAACTGAGGGGAGTTTGGACATTGGGGTACTGAAAATCGCGGACGCAGCTCTGCCTGGCTGGTTGCACGAGGCTTCCAGGTGCCTGATTGGACTCGCCCACGGCCAACCCCCCACCACGCGCACCCAAAACAAGCAGGCGCGCAGACTGCAGCGCACACATGCATGTCTGCTGAACCCCCCTGAGGCCCACGGAGGCGCGAGAGGTGAGGATAGCTTCTTTCAGCCGGTGCTCCAGCAAAAACAGATGACCTCGAAATGAGCCCCCGGCGAACAGCTCGGACAAGCAGGCGGGGAGGCGGGGAGGCGGAGGGGCCGGTGGCCCACACGCACCCGTGGGGCTCTCTGTGGCGAGTGCCAGTGACGCGAGTGAGTCCATAATGAGGTTGACCCACAGCATCTGCACCGCGCTGAGCGGGGACGACCGCAGCAGCACCGCGCCGCCCGCAGCGACGGACACCGCCACCACATTGGCTGCGGGGGCGAGGGCGGGGGTTCGCGGGCGCGGATTTTGTGCGCGTGCATATTTGCGTGCATGCATGTGTTTGGGGGGGCAGGGTCAAGTGGGGGTACAAGATGGGTGGTGGTGGAGTTAGAGCTGTTGGGTTGTCTGCGGGGTGGGACGGTGCCTGCTGCACTGCCATGGCGGCAGGGATTCCCGGGTGTGGTCTGATCAGGGCACCCCGTCTTGCTGAGGCGACACACATCGGCACTGCATGTATTCTCTGCATTTGGGCGTTCGCCAATTGCATGGGAAAGGCCGATCACCTGTGAGCTGGAACTGCAGGAACTTGGTGACTGACGCGTACACATTGCGGCCCCACTTGACGGCGCTCACGATGGACCTGCAGGGTTTGCGTGTGGACACAATGTGTGTGTCTTTTGTGTGTGTGTGTGTGTGTGTGTGTGTGTGTGTGTGTGTGTGTGTGTGTGTGTATGCACATGCATGCATGCATGAGTGTGTGTGTGTACGTGTGTGTGTACGTGTACATGTGCAGAGGAAAAGGGGGGGTCACGGCGGCCAGGTGCCCAGGAGCTCGGGGATTTCAACCCCTATTGCCCCAACCCGCGCGAGTTTGCCGACGTGCCAACCCACGCAGGCGCGCGTCCCCCAACTGGGTTTGGGGTCTAGTATCTAGGTGTCAGGCGTGCCTGAAACCTAGATACTAGGTTTCATCTAGGTTTCAGGCGCGCCTGACGCCGTCCTCGATCCCCCCCACCGGCCCCACCCCTTCAAGTCCTATCTGCGACGTGCCCGGCCGTGCACGCGCTGCGCGCACCTGAAGTTGTTGTCCAGCAGCAGTATGTCCGACGCGTCGCGCGCGATGCACGTGCCCGCGGCCATCGCAAACCCTACGTCCGCCGCCGCCAGCGCGGGCGCGTCGTTGGTGCCGTCGCCTGGCGCGGGCGGCGGTGGATGGGGGACCCCAAGAGGTGGGTGGCGGCGCAAGTGTTCGGGGGAGCACGCGTGGATGGGTGGGTGACTGACGGCTCGTAAATTCAACTCCTGTGGCGCCGAATCTGGCCTGGTAGAAATACACTGTCCAGCGCTTGCCTGGGACACAGCGCCGCCCGGCCCGCCGCTGCGACGGTGGCCGGGCCGCGCGGCCCAGGGGCCAGGGGCCAGGGTCGGGGGGGCACTCTCGTGGTCCCCAACTGGTCGGAATCACGAGAGC